CTTTCATTCTTGAATGTTCCATCTCCCAATCAATATGGGATAACTAAGAGTACACCATAATTCAAGATTTTTGAAATAAAGTTTTTAGAATGCCACCTCATCTATCCCCCACCAAAGGAATTTCTAGGATTTTATTTTGTTTATTATTGCAACATTGAAAAACAAATTTTATTAAGAAATAAAATATGTAAATGAAGAAGCAAAACAAGAGTTGGAGGTTAAACTTGAGTATGCAAAATTACCAAAAACTGGGGTTAAAAATGAATTACGATTTCCATATAGGAACGGAAAAGTGTTTAATATATTAAACATCTAAAAAAACTCAGAAAATTGAGAAGAAAGATAGAAGAGATTATATAAGTATTAAAAGGCGTCACCTTATCCTTCATGGATTTTGTTTTTTACAGATCTATAGATTTAGATGCCACTTCATCTATCTCCCACCAAAGGAATTTCATTTCTAGGATTTCATTTTGTTTATTATTGAAACCCCCAAAACAAATTTCATTAAGAAATAGGAGAAGTAAATGAGATGCAAAGCAAAAGTTGGAGGCTAAACTTCGGTATGCAAAATTACGAAAAACCCGGACTAATAATGAATTTCACATTTTTCATACAAGACGAAAAAGTCTTTAACATATTAAAAAAATTTAGAAAAAAAATATAGAAGAGATTATAAGTATTAGAAGGTGTCATCTCATCCTTCATGGGTTTTGCTTTTATACAGGGCCGGCCCTGGCCATAGGCCCAGGGGGCGACGACCCAGGGCAGCATGAAGCCCAAGAGCATCAAATTTTATAGATATTAGATATTGACTAGTTATATACGAGCTAAAATGTATTATATAAGTTCAGTTTCATTTGGGCCTAAAAAAAATTACCGTTACAGTCGAGCCGGCAGTCCACGCACAAGTCCATCATCGACTCTCGCTCGCCTCGCCTACAGCCTACCTCGCTCTGTCTCTCACAGTTCACACACTCTCAATCACAAACAGTAAACGCTCTCACTCTCAATCTCAATCGCAATCGCAATAGGCAAATCCTCTCGCTCTCGCTCTCTCTGTCTGACTGCCTCTCTCGAGAGTCGGTCTGTGGCTGCCTGCCGGCCTCTGTCGTCGCTCTCTGCATGCTTGCGGCTCTGTGCCTCTGCCTCTCGGCTCGCTCTCGCTCTCTCCATCCTATAAAACACTAGAAAGACTGTCTATTGTTGTTACTTGTGAGGTAAGTTGTGTGAGGTTAGGGAAACTTAACTTAGTTATTTTATATTTTTATTACTTATTTACTTTACTTATTTTATGTTTTAATTTTCTAATTCTTGTTTGATTGCAAAACCTAATAATGAACAGAAGCTGTGAAATTGGTCAGTTTCACTTACTCTTTAGAAATTAGGGCTGTTTAGAAATTAGGGTTGTGAAATTGAGCATATGACTAGCTTGGGAATTTACTAATACTACATGTATCAATGTATGCCTAATTGCCTACTTAGGTTTTCTATCAAGTGTCAACATTAGTTAGGTTGGGACTCGTGGTTTTTTTGGGGTTGTTTCGTTTTGCAATTTCTAAGTAAAATCCATGAAATGAGTCTGGTTACTCACTTTTGTTTGCAGACATTGTTGTGTGTCAAACAGTCAAAGCATCATACTATTGCTATTAATTGATCTAGTTGTTCATCGATTCACTCAAGCCTATCTCTGGAGTTTTAGTTCTTCGTTTTGTGAGTGAAGTAGGAATGAGTCATTGATGTTGTAGAGTGTAAATAATTGAAGAAGAACCAACCAATTAAGTGTTTAGGCTTGGATTGAAAAGGTATGAGTGTTGATTTTTGTTTATACAGAAGACATAGGATGTAGTAAATGGGGACAAGTAGACGAGTTGGTTTATGATGCTCCTTATTTTGGTTTTGGACAAGTAGATGAGTTGGTGTTTAAATGCAAGGGCTATAACAACTTGATTAATGAAACCTTAACATATTATTTTAAAGCAAACACTCAACTATAAGATCACACTTATGAACAAAAAACACTAATGGATCTCTCGGTCTACGAAGGAAAAAGCTAGACAATTGTAAATTACCACATTTGGATGTTTTTAATTGGGCATCATTTGGACTTTTCGCCGTGGACACCAAAAATCTCAGGACCGGCCCTGCTTTTATAGATATATAGATTTAAGGGTCTCGTTCACTTATAGACCGACTAATAATGACATGGTCTAGGTAAATGTCAACTAAGATTCCACATTATAATTAAAAAAATAACAAAAGTAAATAAAAATAATGACATAGCACATCTTCTATAAAGGCATATGTACAAGTTTTTATATCACGTGTACCAATCTTTTCCATTAACATAAAGTTTACTTTTGGCCCAAACAATTTGTCATTTTTAACGGATATTGTACCTCAACTTCGTTTTCTTGGATTTGGACGTTTGTCACTTCCCAATGCTTTTCATCTCTCTGTCTAATCGCCGTTAATTTTTTCCATTAAATCCATTTTTAATGAAGGGTATTTTGGTCACTTTATCTTTTCTTGAATTTTCTATTAAAAAACATATAACATTAAAACCGTAAATCAAAACATCTGCCAGCTTCCATGTCTCTTCACCGGAAACATTGAAATCTTTCTCCCATAGATCAAAATGAAAAACCTAATATCAAAAACCCAAACCAAAAACCCTAGAACAAAGTCAAATATGGAAAAAGGAAGAATATGCAAATAATTGTAACTCTAGTTTGTTAAAAAAATAGTCTATGGTTTGTTAAAAAGTGGTCAAGCTAAAGAAATCATGTGGAAGGGTTCCATCCTTGCATCCATCAAAAAACTTGCAAAATTTTCACTTCTTGATCTAGGTTGGATTCAAATAATTGTCTGAGGTCTGTTCAATCATGAGCTTGACCTTTCTTTTTAATCCTAATGGCCGAATCACAAGTTTTTGTGAGTCCATCGATGGGTAAATGTGTTCTTCACGAACACCCACAAGAAATTGATTGAAATTATTTGGGCTTGAGGGTTTAATTTTTTAGGGCTCTTCTTTGTGAAGATGGGATTTGATTATGGGTTAAATAGGTGGTGTTGGTAGTACCAGAAGGGGTTTCAAGAACTATGGAGGAATTATGAGATTTGATTAGAATTTTTAGGGTTTTTGTTTTTTTGAAAGCTAGAACCAGAGGTTGGTTATAATCGTAAGGGTCTGATTTTGGATCCTTAGAGGAATCATCTTACATCTATATCAAAACCTATTTAATTCAAGAGAAGAAGAGGGGGAAGAGGAAGAAAAAGATCAAGGAAAAACAAAGGATTAAGTTACATTTTCATATCAAGATCATCATCAGCTTTAGCAAAATCGAGAAATGACATCTCCCGACCACCGTGTCCTCCACATAAGATTAGGTGGTCCGATAGGGCAGCCTCCGCAGCCACATAAGAACGCTTTTATTTACCTTCTTCTTTTGTGATAGAACGATGATGGAGAAGAATGTGTACCGAGGTCGCCGGAAAAAATGGGAGAAAGATATAGTACTATAACCAATAGCAACTCCACCGACAGCAGGGCCATCTATGATTTCCGAGGGGGGAGGGAGTAGCAAGGTGGTTGTTATTTGCACCAATATCTATGAAAAAGTCAAAAAGGAATCTAGTAAGTAGCATAAAATGACCTAGAAGTTTGAAAAATAACATCATTTTCACTTTTTTTCTCTCTCTATTTTACTTTTTTTTTGTTTTGTATCCAATAGATAATAATAATTATTATCTATACTAATTATAACTTTTATTTGTATTATACTAGTTATGTACTCTAGCAATGCGGCGGATGTAAAAATCGGTGAAATAAGAATATATGATTAATATTTCTGTAACTTAAAAATTAAGAAAATAATTCATTATCTTTTTCCAACTTTAAAACTTAATGAATAACCAATCAATTCTTACTTACGTTTATATTCAAATAATAATTTTATCAACAATTTTTTAAAAATTCAGATAATAACTCGTCTCTCTTTTTTGGTATACCCGATTCTAGTGAATTTTATATCATGACACAAGTACCTTTTTTTATTAAAATCTCAAATATAAATTAGTTTAAGTTGTATTATGTTTTATTTATAAAAAATAATATTGTTGTATTATATAATAATAATTATAATAAATATAAAATGA